GACTATATTTAGAACCCCTTTTCGCGGCCACATATTGACTAGTACTTACGCGGGTATTGGTCACTTATTATTTATTAATCATCGTCAGTCAGTCGTACTCAAACCCATGTTTGGACAGCCTAGGACAGATGTAATATGTCTCCTAGTCCAGGAAACACTGAGTCAAAGTATTGGATGCAATAAAAAGTTTATTTTGGCATGGCTTGTAAGTCATTGTGAAGAAAAAATGGACAAGGTGAGGGCTTGAATTCGGGCTAATTGGTGAGCAGGACAACGCTTTACGTATTATGTCAGGGGATCTTCCGGCAAGACTGTGTTCATGATTAACATACCAAGTGAATAGACATAGTAACACATTCTCAATCTGTAGAACATGCACTTAGACGCCTGTGTAAATATTAGTATACAGTTAGTGTGCATTTTTATGCGGTTGTTTGACGGTCCTATAAACGCATTACCAAACCAGCTGATGTAAACGGGGAATCTGTACGGGAAGTGGAAATGGGTTTTTAAAAAAACCTGGTATGCTGGCGAAAGTTAACTCTGGATTACTTACTTTGCGCGTCTGGTATAGCAACCAAAGTGTGTTAGTGACAGTTAAATGACCTCCGCATAACTGTGTATTTACTTATAAAACGGTGATGTCTAAGCAAAAAAATGAGCAAACGGATGATTTCGAGGTGTCACGAAAAGAGGTACATTATGTATTAGGAAGCACACGGACGCGGCACCCGATCTTTCCTATTCTCATTGACACTCAAAAGTGGGTATGTACGTTTGGCCCCAGATTTCTGGTCCTGAAATACACTTGGACGATATCCTTTGGCAGTTAGGCTACTGTGGGCAGTAATGGGCGACATCGAAATGATCATTTCGAATTTATATTGATGTTCAATCGATGAGGACCGAACGCCGGACCGAGATATCATTGGGCGATTATGAGTAGTATCCCAGAAACGATCATTTCAATGTGCACTGTCTTCGGAGGTTATAACTCCCAACGCAGAAGGCGTGATGACAAACTGCAGGCAAGATGTGAGGGCTCAAAATGATAAACTGCTGTTTCACATTTTCATCAAAGTCGCGATAGGTTTACAGTAGAAGTGGAGTTAACAACAGCAGCCTATCCGTCCAAACATGACGCTACTACTTGGCTGCAGTGTCCTATTTTTCCAGACAACAACGTTAACGGAGGAGTCAACGAAGCGACGGCTAGACAGTGTCAATGAGGAAATGGCAGGCAAAAACTTTCGCGTTTTTTTTAGATTACATGTCAACTGATGAGAAATACGTGGACTGGTAAGACATCCCTAAGAAGCATAAGGTGGCAAGTCATTGGAAGAAACAGATTTCTGACAGGCCATTCAGAGAGAGCGGAGAGGGGGAAAGGTGAAGTTACTTGACACACCCTTGCTAGGCTACAAGTCTGTCGGTCTCGCCATCCTTCTAGAGAAAACGGAGAGGGAGGGATGGGGGTGGGGGTGGGAGAAGTCGGGGAAATATTGCAGCTGTGTCAACTGTACGAGTGAAGCAAATTAGAGGAAAGCAATCGTGCAAAGCCTGCGTGTTCATGACTTGGTCGCCGTGAATCATGCAGCTGCCCTTCGAAGTCGGCATGAAAGATTGGCAGAAAGTTAGGACCTAGGGCTAAAGCAGCCAGGAGGGGATTTTATTGGGGAAAAATGACATAAGGCAAAAGACCAGTCTAATAGGGGTAGCTAACTAAATATTACACCTCTATCTTGTGTTGGAATGGCTGTCAAACAAGGCTTCTAATTCGAACTAGGCGACAAAGAGGGAACGCGCAGAAGTTGACGTCGTAAATGTTGTGTACAGCAATAAGACAGTCAGTCCACAGAAGAAAATGTAATAATTCCGGAAAGACGGCTGATTATTTTACTTCCCTTCGGGGGATGATGTGTCAGACGGGAGCCAAAGGACAGCTAACACAGAAGACTGGACGAGTGTTCGCCGCTTTTGATCTGGGTTAGACAGGCTCATCGCCACTTTGACCATTAAATAATACAGAAGATGAATTGGCGAACATACGTTTGTTTTCGATAATTCGGCGACGGTCATCAGTGGAAAAACAGTCTACCGGAATCCACGCCCAATTCGGCCTTCTGCCACTCAACCATTGACTCGGCCTTTTTTTATTCATGCATTCATCTTTCTATCTGCTACTATTCTCTTCAATTGTCTTCGCCTGCCGAAAACGAATGTTTTTACAAGACCGACTTCAATATTGCCCTTCTCTCTCATACATACACAAAGTGGAGAGTCCCTTTTGTCCCATCTGCTGGTAATGAGGCGGAAAAGAATGACTGACATGGTCCGAAGGTCACCGCCCACGGTTACCACGCCATGCTTTCGGCGCCTGTTATGGACACACATACAGACACTTATTACAGCTCAAACAGGGCGTGCCATTAGCCAACGTTAGTCCCGCTTTCACGCAGGGCAAACAACTGGCAGTTGG